ATCTCTCTGGCTGTACTCAGTTTATTCAACTCAAATCATTCACTTCCCATCCCTTCCCTGTCACTACCGGCATCCCCCAAGGCTCAGTTCTCGGTCCACTTCTTTTCATCACTTACCTTCTTCCCCTGGGAAATATTTTCTGTAAATTTGACATCCATTTTCATTGTTACGCAGATGACACCCAGCTCTATGTATCCTCCAAACCCTCCTCTTCACTCCCTCCTTCCTCCCTCACCAATTGTTTATCTGAACTCAAAGACTGGTTCACATCAAACTTTCTCAAACTTTACAGTGATAAAACAGAAATGTTACTTGTCGGCACTAAATCCTTACTATCCAAAATCCACAGCTTTACACTTCCTGTAGACAACTACTTAGTTTCCCCCTCCCCTCTGGTCAAGACTCTGGGTGTCATCCTCGACTCCTCACTATCCTTCCAGTCCCACATAAACAATATTACCCGGTCTGCCTACTTCCATCTACGCAACATTAACCGCCTACGCCCCTCCCTCACTACTCACTCGGTCGCCATCCTTGTCAAAAGCCTCATCACTTCCCGTATTGACTACTGCAACTCTCTTCTCTTTGGTCTTCCTCACAAATCCCTCCATAAACTCCAACTTCTCCAGAACTCGGCAGCCTGCATAATTACCAGAACTCCCTCCTTCCACCACATCACCCCTGTTCTTCAGCAGCTCCACTGGCTCCCAGTCACTTACAGAATCCAATTAAAAATTCTGCTATATACATTCAAAGCCATCCATAACCTAGCTCCCCCGTACCTCTCAGACCTCCTTCATCCCTCAACCTCCACCCGTTCCCTCAAGTCCTCCTCCTCCATCCACCTCTCTGTCCCACCTTTCCGTCTGGTCACTACGGGGAGCAGGGCCTTCAGTCGCTCTGCTCCCCAGCTCTGGAACTCACTCCCTCCTGACCTCCCTAACATTGACACCCTCACTCTCTTTAAAACCAGACTCAAAACCCACCTGTTCCTATAGCATTCCAATAATTACTCTCTTTGCTCCAATCTGTCTGTTTGTTTTATGCTGTTCTGTCTTTTTTTGGTGTGTATTTTATCTCTGTCTGTAAAGTGTCCTTGAGTGTTTAGAAAGGCGCTGTTGAAATAAAATGTAGGCACATTCTTCTGGAAGCTCTTCACGACAGCACAAGAGCTGCTGACACCAGAGGATCACCTACGACCAAGAGAACAGCTGGAATCAGTAACTAAATAATGAAATCAGGGCAGTTTTAGTGGGATGTTTGTGATTGTGTAACATAAATGAATACATTACAGAATAATTTTCTCATGGGGTAGTTTTATTATTTTCTCTGCAGCAGACAGTAACTTCAGCTCAGGGTATGTGGCCATGTCCTAGAGAGCTGCTATCCAGCACGTTTCAGTGGTTTTCCTGCTTTAACATGTTGGATTAGCTGTTCAGCAGCTCAGCAATTTGCTGCTGATTAAAACCAGGTGTGTTTAAGCAGACAAACCTCTAAAACATGCTGAATAATAGCACTCTAGGGCCGTGTAGCCGAACCCTGCAGCTAAGCAAATGCTATGGCTACTTACCATTCAGAGCTGGTTCTGTTGAGTCAGCTCCGGTGGTTTCAGGCAACTCACAAGCTCAAAACAATAAGGCTCAGGTCCACTTGTCTCCTCCAAATAGACTTGGTCCCATTCTTCTTGATTGTCTGGGTAAGGAGGGTGAGAAATGTCCTCCACTTCTAATGACTGCTCAGAGTGGAAAAAAAAGCTAGCTTCGTCTTGTTACCCATCCATCTTCGTCACTGCCGCGGCTCCACCCTCTCGGTCCGCCAGGCAACGCCAACTAATGTTGCACTTTTCAAAATTGATATGTGGGTGGAGAAGGACTCTGAGGCAGGCTTGACAATTCCTTAAAAGAATTATGTTGTCGATGGCCAATATGTAAAGCTAAGTATTAAGGCCAATATATACGTGCAAGCAGTACATTGATTGTGAAAGACAACTGAACATTCACTGTGTTTAATATAAATTAAATAAGTCAGTAAATCTCTTAATATATATTGAACTTCAAATATAAAACAAACTCAAAACATTAACAATGTGCAAACTGTTTCAGAACAATAGAAAATAAAACAGATTCAAGTTTATTTATTTTTGTGTTTTAAATAAAGAAAATCAAACAGGACCCAGTATAATGGTGTAAAACTGGCTGGTCGACGTAGAATCTTAAAATAAAAAAAAGTAAAGTGCACTAACACGTTGTGGTAAAAAAAAATTAAATCTAAACTATACAGTGAAATAGAGCAAACATTAACCAAACTTAAAGGGATATTCTACTCAGACATAATTTTGTCTGTTAGATTTTCCAGAGTTAGGCAAGTGAGAAAAAGGAATTTGTAGCTAACAAGCTCAGTCACTCTCCTGATCTGGAAGCAGTAAGTTTTGCTTTAGCTTCACAGAAAACCATAGCCACATTTACATGCGCACATTTAATCGGATTGAACGCCCAATCAGATAAAAAATTCAGCATGTTAACACGTCAATGGGAATGTTCCGATCCGATTCGGCTGATCGGAATGAAATTTCAATCCAACTGAGAGAGGTGGTTTTGTCCGATCATCATTCCGATTGATGTGCTTGTACACAGCCATTCGGATTGTTGGAGCAAAATAACGTGCACACACTGCGCATGTGTAAAACAGCTAGCAAGCCTCCCCACCATCTTTTAGACTGCCTGAGTTAAATAAATGACGGCCTAATTAACGAGGGCCGTTTTTTTAAATATGATGGCAGGCCATCCCTGTTTCAGTAATATCTAATCCAGAACCTGCATTTTGTGGCAGTAAAATAAAAATCTGATTATTGCACAAACTATTAACTAACATGTCCAAGTCTGTACTGGAAACATGCACATTCATTTCGGGTTTGCAGCACAGATCCCTGTTTCTGTGAATGCAGCAGCTGTTTCTGCAGCAGATGGATGGAGACGTGCTCGTAAAGAAGACAGGGTAACATCGGTTACATAGACCTGGTTTGAGTTTAAGGAGGCTAATGTTGAGTAGAAAAATATCTTCAGTTAAATCCAACTATCTGTTGAAAAACACGTTAACACAGATGAGATGAGATGGGTTAGTCTATTAACACATGATGAACACAGGCTTCCAGACTTTCTTAACGTCTCCTGTTATTTAGTTTGAACCACATTTTCTCAACAGTTTCAGCTGATTGTCACATTTTATTAATAATAAGTCACAACAGAGCTCAGTAATAAAACATGAGTCTGAACCCCCCCACTCCCGCTCCGCGCAGCGCTGCGCCCAGGCGTCACGTCAGAGCTGCGGACCAGCTGATCAAGAAGCAGAGACATAACCCTCCCTTATTTTAATATTGTCAACAATAAAACACAGCTAAGCATAAACCTGCAGTAATTTACTGAAGACAACGTAACTTCTATGAGCAAAATAAAATCATTAAAATGATTAAATGAATTAGGAAAGCAGGACGTTTTTACATTTTTCATTTCATTTCATGATATTTGTTTACTTATTTTTTCCAGGAAAGACAGCTCTGTGCATGCTCAGCCTATTTAATCCTATTGAATACTTGGTGCATATAAACTCACGGCATGATCGGATCATTTTAGTTAGTGTCCATGTAAAACAGAGATTCTGGATTTCCGATCAACCAAGATTTGAATCGGGTCGGGGAAATTTGTCGCATGTAAATGTGACTAATGTAAGTAAAAGGAAGGTTCTAGAATCTTTCTATCCTTTATCAGCTCAGGTGTGTTGGGGTCCTTCGGGTCCTATCTTCAGTTTAGTAGTGGCAGCAGTTGGCCACACAGGTGCCTAATTTTTATTTTATTTCATCTGCTGTTAAAAGAATTTCGGCCGATGGCCGATATAGAAAAAGTTGAATATATCGGCCTCTAGTCAAAACATGATCCAAAGCTTATTTCCTCGTCGTGGATGTAGAAAGATGACAAAAACAGGGCCGTAACAACCGCTAATTTTAGTGATGCACCTATATGAATTTTTTTGGCTGATGCCGATATCCGATATTGAGATCACTGTTATGGCTGATAACCGATATTTGCCGATACAGATATACTGAGATTAATGCTTCTAAATTCAAAAGATTTTGTGTAGGATGAAAATAATTAAAGCTGAATTTATGTTTTGTACACACAACACACACATTTCTGAGATTCTGAGATGATTTCATTCACAGTTCACATGACTGAACAATTAAACATCACCCCCAGACCCCCCACCCACCCACCCTCTGAAACAGGCAAACAATGGAGACGAGATGGAAAAAATATCGGTTGGTAACATTGGCCCGGTTTCATTTATCAAACCGAAACCGATATATTAAAAAAGGACTAACATCGGCGGATACCGATATTGATGCCGATATATTGTCCATCCCTAGCTAATAATGGGAATGTAAAAGAAGGGAAAAAAAACACAGGGCAGACGCGGTCAGCACAAAACTGAAAGTAAAAAGTGCATCACATAATTGATATGAATCTTCCAGCGACCGTAATAAAACGGCATTACTAAAAGGGGAAAAAAACGTTACTTTCAAAATCAGTACGAATGCATGATTACTATGAAGTAAAGAGCAAGTAGCCACATGAGGACGGAGCGAGATGAAATGAAAACAGGTTTTACCTGATGGCCTGTTTCGGCCTACTTCCTAAAAACCCAGCAGGATGCTGAATATAATATTTCACTATTGGTGGGGTAAAATAAACAGCTTCTCATCACATCTGGGGTATGAAGTCACCTGAATGTGCTTATTTATTACCCTTGTTGTGCAGCAAGTTTAATATTTTTTCTGCTATAGAACAGTTTATATTGTGATCTAGTTGGTCTGCATCATCCACCCGGGACTCTGGTTGGGTTCCGAGTGAGCCTGTTGGTTTGTTCGAGTGAAAAACAGTCTCTGATGCTTTTTGTGTTTACTTCCTGCTTTAGCTGACTTTTTTTTCTGTTTCAATTCTCTCTAGGTGACATCACTTTGAGATTAAAGGTCATCTGGGAGGAACCTGCTACTGAACTTTAATTCTTTATGGAATAAAAATGGCACTTAGGCAGAGACAGAAAGGAAGTGGATACATCCCTTTTCCCTCTGAGACTCCTCATCAGGATTTGGTTTGAGACAAGTTTGATTTTATCTTTGACTAAATGGGGTTTAATGAAGTTGGATTCAATCCCATGCAGGAGACTTTTACTCAGAAGAAGTGATTAAAAACTAAAGCTGAGAATGGAGCAGGATTTCACACAGTAGGACCGTCCAGGCTCCCGATTCTGCATTCAGAGACTTTATCCTGCTGTGAATGAAGTTCCAGCGCTCCTGAAGCTCAAAGGGAACGCTCGCTCCCTTCAGCTTTGGATTCTTACTGCAAAATTATCCCAAACATGGCTGCTACAGGGAGGAAACACCTCCCAGTGAGAGATTTCAACCATTTTATAACCTGCTACCTGTGCAGAGGCTACCTGATCAAACCCACCACAGTCACCGAGTGCCTGCACACATGTGAGTGGAACCCAACTAGGCACACACGCACAAAAAGTCATCAATCCTCTTTCTTTATAGAGTACAGACAGACAGAGAAGGGAAACAAATCACCTGTTACCGACTTCTGCTAAAAAAACAAAGCTAATTCTTCCTCCAAAAATGTTTAATTATTTGAAACTAATCCTAACCCTGGTCTAATTATTCATATGTTTTAGATTTGCTGACAATAAAACTGCAGGATGCTGATTTTGTTTTGCCCTACATGTTAAAAAAAACTTTAATGGGGTGTGGGCATGACACTAATGTTTTACAGAAAATAGCGTGTGGAGACAGTCAAATCAAAAGTTTATTTTGAACAACTACAACAACAGTTAAAACCAAAATCACACAATTTGGCTTCCACACAGCCAACTATAGTTGAACTTAAATCATGCTTTACAACAAGTAATGTATTACATTAACACTCGAAATGGAGTCAGGAGAAGGAAATAACCTTATTAAACCTCACCCCAGTTTATCCAAAATCAATACATTCAAATCAAAATATTAACAGTCCTTCTAAATATTTTTCAACTTAAGGTACTTCAGCAAAATGATTGGTAAACATTTGTGCATATGCCCATGCTTACATACAAATATAGCTTATTAAATAGGTAACAATAATTATACTACACTTAGAAAGAAATGACCGCTACTGGAGATCCTTCCTGCCAACAACTATTGTAATATACAATAACTGTTTGATGACTTGATTATTATTGTTATTCTGAGCGACTGCAGCTATCAATTTCCCTCTGGGATTAATAAAGTATTTTTGAATTGAATTGAATTGAATTGAATTATAGTAACCTGCAGCAAACAGAATAATGTATTATGTGTTTAGCCACCTATATTTTTGTATTGTGACCAAACGTGTATTTTAAAAAGAGATTTGAACTGAAAATAATTTCTACAACGTTTTAATTCTTGCTCAAATCCGTTCCATATTTTAACACCACAAACTGATAATTGCAAAACTTCTCCTGGAATTTCTTACAGTCTTAGCCAATCAGAGAGCTGGAATTTTCCCGCCTGCTTGGGAGGCAGGCTGCAACAGCAGGACATGTGAGACATGACCTGATTGAACCAGAAAAACACAAATGTATTAAATAATGATAATTTTATTCTTAGGCAAGATGCTCACAACTCTGATGTAATAGATGCAAGGCGGAGGAGCCAGCTTTAGAAGTAAATACATTTATCTGAATACACAGAAAATGAATAGAAATGTTTTGCTAATTTTCTGCTAATTATCTCACTGTTGAAACTCAAAACACCAAGAGCAGTCAGAGCCCACCAAGCTGATTTGAAATGTGTGTGTGTGTGTGTGTGTGTGTGTGTGTGTGTGTGTGTGTGTGTGTGCACTTCATGCATCTCTTTGGGCATTAAGTTTATCAGAGGAATAATAAATAAAGATAAACTTTAGAGGTGCCTGCAACATTGCAGGACCCTTATGGGAAGATGTGGATTCATAATTAAACATTTATGGAAAGTTAAACATGTCAGACTAGTGCTGAAGCCTAACCCTACCAGGCCACCATAGGCTAATGCTAATCTTTATGCTCTAATTTCTATTTTTATGTGACTTTATCTGGAGTTTTCATATTGCAGATTGTTGTGGGACAAGTTGGAGACTCAGAGGACGGTAAAAGTCCAGCTACCGTTGGTCATGGTTCCACTCAGGATCAGGGTTTATTAAGTCCTGGATGTAATGGGATGTTTTGCGTCTATGGGGTGACTAAAATGGTCTCACCTGGTTTTTCCTTGCAGTCTGCAAGAGCTGCATTGTGCAGCACTTTGAGGAGAGTAATGACTGTCCTAAATGTGGCATCCAGGTTCATGAGACCAACCCTCTGGAGATGCTCAGGTAATATCAGCTCTTCTCTCCCTAATGAGTTTCTTTAAACTGGTCATCAGTCACACTTGTCTTATGATTTTCTTCTCTCTTTCTTCTTGATTCCCTTTCTTTGGGTAAAATCAGAGTTTTAAACCTTTAACCCTACCACTGTCTTTATGGGTGACCCCGCGAGGAAAATTGACCATTGAGCAGGGTTGGTGGTTTATCCTTTGGGTCCATATGGCAGGGGTGAGGAGTAAGCACCACCACCTCACCCCTGCCACATGGACCTCAAGGGATAAACCATCATTCCTGCTCAATGGTCAACTTTCCTTGCGGGGTCACCATAAAGACAGTGGGAGGGTTAACAGACCTGCCAACCTGTACGCATTTTGCGTAGCTAATACGCAATTTGGCATCTATTTACGCTGGTACGACTCACCCCTCTAAACTACGCAAAAAACTGCGGATACGTGAGTTGAGTTCTGTGGCAAATATGCGTGTGTGGTACACATGTCAGACAACACGACTCAGCAGCTTGGTGAAGAAGTTTAAGCCAATCGTAGAAAAGCAGAGTAAAACTATCCTGCCTAACCTATAGCGTAACACCCCGCCCCCCTCCTCCCTGCTTCATCCTGCCTGCTGCTCCTCTCTCCCTCCAGGTCGCCACTCGCTGCTGTTCTGGTAAGGTAAATGTGTGTGTGTGTCAGCGGGCCGGACCGGCCGTCTTTTGGTGAATGTGAACGCGTAACGTTACTTTCACTGTTTAATATTCAAGCCGAAATCTGAGTAAAAAAATAAAAAACAAAGAGACTAAAGAGAAAGGCAGCTGTGTGTGTGTGTGTGTGTGTGTGTGTGTGTGTGTGTGTGTGTGTGTGTGTGTGTGTGTGTGTGTATTTTTGCCTATCCATTGCAGATAGATTTGGCCAGTATATAAGGAGGAATGTGATTATTTATACAGTTCAAACATGCAGCCATTATTTTTTTTCGCAGCTCGTTTTGCAACTCATTCTATGGCAGATGAGGGAGAAGCAGACAGGGAGGGATTTGTTAGCAGATCTGCCAAAAAGAAGAGGGTCCATGTGTCTCAGAAGTTTTTGTCCAAATATCAAGAACAGTGGCCATGCTTGCGACCCTCTAAACAACCTCACCATGCGTTTTGCACAATCTGCAATTATGATGTGGACATACGGTAAGCCACCAGGGAGCTGCAGGTAATTAGTAAATCAGCTCTGGTGATGTGTATATGTGCTTTAAGCCAATTCAATCTTACATTCTTGAGAACAGAAACACCTATTGCAATTTACAAAATAAATAATTTCCATTAAATACATATAAATGTTTTTTTATTAATTTGTATTGAAATAATTTAATGCAAGTAACTTGTATAAGCACAAATATTATATAAGGAAACTTTAGAGTTTTACTGTTTAATATTAAAGTACACGATACTTTGGAGTCAGGTCAAACTGTAAAAATGTCTATAACCTTACTAGTCAAAATAAGAACTATGAACAAGTATGTGTGTGTATGTGTGTGTGTGTGTAAAATTTTCCATCCAGTGAATAAGGAGATTACAGCGTGAAAAGCAATGGAGTTGCAAAAGTCCGCGAAAAAACACTGCACAAGTGGTACTCAAAATGTTTTATTTATTTATTTATTTGTATGTGTCCTGTCTGGCTGTGAAATTTTTTTTTGACAAGGTTGGCAGGTCTGCTTTAAGTTGTTAAGTTCTACTTTTACCTTTTCTACTTTCTGCAGATTCACACCGATGAAAGAATGAATGAATTAACTCTTAATTTGTTTTTAGTTAGATTAGAACAGTCTGGACAGACATTGGCTATAAAATAGTAAAAAGCAACAAACACATAGGGCTGCCACCTTACCATGGTGGAGGGATTTGGGTGTCCCAGTGGTCCTAGGAGCTAAGTTGTCTGAGGCTTTATGCCTCTGATAGGGTGACCCATATCAAACAGGTACTAGGTGAGAGATCAGACAAATTGCAGCTCAAAGACCACCATGACGACAGACATAAATGGAAATGTTGTTACCTCGCCCAGATGCGGGTCACCTGGGCCCCACTCTGGAGCCAGGCCTGGTGGCCAGGCTTTTACCCATGAAGCCCCGCCGGGCACAGTTTATCGTCTCATCTCGTCTTCTTCCACCTATCCGGGTCTGGGTCACGGGGGCAGCATCCCAACTAGGGAGTTCCAGACCATCCTCTCCCCGGCCACCTTTACTAGCTTCTCTGGCAGGACCCCAAGGTGTTCCTGGGCCAGATTGGAGATGTACTTTCTCCAACGTGTCCTGGGTCGAACAGGGGGCCTCCTTCCTGCAGGACATGCCTGAAACACCTCCCTGGGGAGGCATCCAGGAGACATCCTACCAAGATGCCCAAACCACCTCAACTGACTCTTCTCGATATGGAGGAGCAGCGGCTGTACTCCGAGTCTCTCCTAAATGTCCGAGCTCCTCACCATATACCTAAGGCTGAGCCCAGCCACCCCGCAGAGAAAACTCATTTCGGCCGCTCGTATCCACGATCTTGTTCTTTCGGTCATCACCCACAGCTCATGACCATAGGTGAGGACTGGGCGGTAGATCAACTGGTAAATCGAGAACCTTGCTTTCTGGCTCAGCTCCTTCTTCACCACAACAGACCGGTTCAGCGTCTGCATCACTGCAGATGCTGCCCCAATCCGCCTGTTGATCTCCCGCTCCCTCCTTCCCTCACTCGTGAACAAGACCCCGAGAAACACGTGGATTGGTTGTACAAACTCCAATGACCCCTCCATCACCCTAGCAAGGGTAAAGAGTTGGTCCTCAGTTCCATGGCCAGGACGAAAACCACATTGCTCCTCTTTTATCTGAGATTCAACTATCGACAGGACCCTTCTCTCCAGTACCCTGGAGTAGACCTTTTCCGGGCGGCTGAGGAGTGTGATCCCCCTATAGTTGGAACACACCCTCTGGTCCCCTTTTTAAAAAATTTGGACCATCACCCCGGTCTGCCACTCCACAGGAACAGCCATAGAAAAACTTCTTGGTATATAGTGGGAAGCAAAAGTTTGGGCAGACATGGGCGTTATGCACGGAGGAAAAAGAACCCCACTTAAAAAAAGTTACACAGCATTCCAAATAAATAAATAAATAACACCTGCTACCTGCAGTGAAACATGGTGGTGGTTCCATCATGCTGTGGGGCTGTGGCCAGTGCAGGGACTGGGAATCTTGTTAAAGTTGAGGGACGTGTGGATTCCACTCAGTATCAGCAGATTCTGGACACCAAGGTCCAGGAATCCGTGACAAAGGTGAAGCTGCACTGGGGCTGGATCTGTCAACAAGACAACGACCCTAAACATGCAGAGGAACAAGTATTGGAATGACCATCTCAGACACCAGACCTGAATATTATTGAAAATCTGTGGTGTGAGCAACAACCATCGGGACTGCTCCATTCCCACCTAGGAAGCGGATGAACTCTCCTGTGTGGGAATTTTAGATAAATTAGACATATTCCCACACAGGAGACTTCAACTGCTTTCTAGGTGGAAATGAAGCAGTCCTGATGGTTGTTGTCACTGGTTCTGTGTGGGTCGCACTATTATCCTTTCACCTTTTAAAGGCGACATTGGAGAAATCTTTATGTTGGGTTAACCAGGGTTAATAGTCAAAATGGTTTATCCCTGCAACCCTAGCACTTTGTCACCGATTCTGTTCTTAACTCTTATGGACAGGAGTTCTAAGTGCAGCCAAGGTGGTGAGGGATCAGTTTCGGTGGCCTGAGGATCAGGTCTCTACTTTTTTGCAGATGATGTGGTCCTGTTGGCTTCATCAGACCATGATCTCCGGCTTTCGCTGGAGTGGTTCTAAGCTGAGTGTGAAACAGCTGGGATGAGAATCAACTCCTCTAAATCTAAGATCATGGTCTTGAATTGTCTTGAATTGGAAAAGGGTAGAATGCCTTCTCTAGGTCAGAGATGAGGTCCTGCCTCAAGTGGAGGAGTTTAAGTATCTTGGGGTCTTGTTCACTACTGAGGGAAAGATGGAGCACGAGATCGATAGACAGATTGGTGCTGCGTCTGCAGTTTTTAGAGCATTGTACTGGTCTGTCTTGGTGAAGAAATTGCTGAGCCGGATAGTAAAGCTCTCGATTTACCGATAGAGCTATGTTCCTACCCTCAGCTATGGTCACGAGCTTTGGGTAGTGACCGAAAGAACGAGCTTGTGGATACAAGAGGCCAAAATGAGTTTTCTCTGCAGGGTGTCTGGGCTCTCCCTTAGAGATGGGGCGAGAAGCTCAGTCATCCGAGAGGGGCTTGGAGAAGACCTGCTGCTCCTCCACATGGCGAGGAGCCAGTGCTGGTAGCTGCTTAGGATGCCTCTTGGACACCTTACTGGTGAGGTTTTCTGGGCACGTCCAGCCAGGAGGAAACCTTTAGCAAGACCCAGGACAAGCTGAAAGACTATGTTTTATCGGCTGGCCAGGGAACGGATTCCCCTTGAGGAGCTGGCCCAAGTCGCTGGGGAGAGGGAAGTCTGGGCCTCCCTGATTAGGCTGCTGCCCTCGTGACCCGACCCTGGATAAGCGGATAAGAATGGACGGATGGATAAACATATAGATACGACATACAAAGCAAGATTTGGATTACAATGATATTTTCTTACTGTTTTATTGGGTTTACATATCCACAATGAGTTATAGTACACTAGAATCATTTTACTCCACAATGTCATCACCAGCCTCACATTCCAATGGTCAGAATGCCAGCTATCAAACTCACCGCTAGTGCTGCTGCTAAGATTCAGGGCGTTGTAGTGGAGAAGCCTCTTTAGGAGGGCCTGATAAACATAACTGGTTGTCTGTTTTATCTGTGTAATGTGTATTTTGACTGTTTGACATCTTCTTTTCCTGATCCCTCCCTTTTCTCGCCGCCTCCTCCATCGTACCTCCAGACTGGACAATACATTGGAGGAGATTATTTTCAAGCTGGTGCCTGGACTCAGAGAAAGTGAGTTTATTTATAAGTTGATGACATCAGTCACATGAGCAGCCTGACTGACCTCTCCTGAAACAGTGACACAAACTACAACATGGTGGAAATAAACACAGGTTGTTGATATCGGCCTAGTTTTAAAATAATGATCAACATTGGTTCATGCTGATGACCCTAACATGGACCTCTGAAACATTTTAGGGAGAAAACCTTCCGGGATATTTGTAGTTTAACCGAGAGAACATTGTCTTTTACAAAAAGCAGGAAACGAAGAAGACATTAGAACAGGAAGCAACAGAAGGACTAAAACTAAAATCCCAACATGAAGTCTGTGTTATTTAGTCTGAAGGGGTCTTTTTTTGTGTGTTGATGGGAACTAGAAGAGGAGCAGCAGGAGCTGGAGTTCTGGAGAAAGAACCAGCCCAAAGAATACGGCCAAGGTGAGCTGTTCGTCCCAGACTTCCCGGTCAGGATGATCTAGGATCTGACTTCATCCACATTCTGTTGTTTTTGTTTGAGATCACTGTCGGGGCATTGTTTGTTTTCCTGACAGAAAGCCTGCGGCATCAGCGGCTTCCTGACGGAGGTGGTTATGGGGATGTTGGTGCTGAGGATGGAGGCCACAATTGTGAAGATAGAGACTACCACAGGAGTGACCCTCAGATCGCTGTCTGCTTGGACTGCCTCCAGAACACGGGACAGTCTGCAGATAGCTCTGTAACGGTGAGGCTCCAAGGAAAAACAAAACTTTAAAGGTCTGCTAGCCGTTCAGCTCTGTGAGGCTTCCCTGTGAATCTTTGATGTTTCCCTCAGGACCTGATGAAGAGGTTTATCCGCTGCTCCAGTAGGGTCACCGTGGGAACCATTAAGAAGTTTCTCAGTCTCAAACTGAAGCTGCCAAGCTCTTATGAGGTCAGAGAAGTTGCTAGATCTCAGGTTTGAAAATAAAACAGAAACTTTCACAGATGTTTCACAGAACTAAAGAAAGATTTGATTTAGTTCAATTCAGTTCATAAAGAAAGCACCAAATCACAAATAGAGTCGTCTGTCTCAAGGCACTTCACAAAGACAACATTCCAGCTGAACCTACTGATCAGTGCAGTCATTCAAAGCAATTGATTTTTTCATTTGTTTTTGCAAATTCTATTATTTTATATGAATTAGAAATAACCATCGTGCAGACTCGTTTAAGGATGGGTACCGTATTCGGTACTTTTTAAGGCACAGACCTAATTCCGTGGTACAGACCAAGGACTGATTCACGTGATATGAAACAGTACTTTTTGCCATGTACACACTAGCGTTCGGTACCTGATTTATCAAGATAGGCAGCAGTGCAAGAGTGTTATGTTGTCAGTCGCTGTGGGCGAGATGTCAACAGAGCAAGCAGTATGGTGGAAAGAACGCGCTCTAGTTTTGATCCACTTTACTAAATGCGATGGGTGATGCTATCTACAACGATCTAAATGAGCCATCATCATCTTCAGCAGCTCCAGCAGGTAAATATACAGTTTAAGATTACATTAGCTCGATACTTTAGCTTCCGTTGCTAGCAGCTAATGGTGCTTTCGCTTTCTGATCAGTACTTGGAAATTCCGACTTCCAAGTAGGGAAAAAGTCAACTGTTTGAAAATGAACAGCCAAAGGAATGAAGATACACAATTAATTTAGTTCACAGCAAAGATGTTTGCTTCAGTTTAATTTGCAGTTCATAAAACTACAAGACTCCTCCTTGAACCGTCACCTTATCGTGGTGGAGGAGTTTGAGTGCCCTAATGATCCTAGGAGCTATGTTGTCTGGGGCACTTAGTGCCCCTGGTAGGGTCTCCCATGACAAATTGGTCTTAGGTGAAGGGTGAGACAAAGAACGGTTCTAAGGATCTTTCATGGCGGTTAAAACGAAGAGTCGGAGTACCCGGCCCGGAGGGTTACCGGGATCCCACCCTGGAGCCAGGCCTGGGGTTGGGGCCCGTGAGCGAGCGCCTGGTGGCCGGGCTTTCGCCCATGGGGCCCGGCCGGGCCCAGCCCGAACCGGATACATGGGCTCGTCCAACTGTGGACCCACCACCCGCAGGAGGAACATGAAGGGTCCGGTGCAATGCGAATCGGGTGGCAGACCAAGGCGGGAGCCTTGGCGGTCCAATCCCCGGACAAGAAAACTAGTTTTTGGGACATGGAACGTCACCTCGCTGGCGGGGAAGGAGCCGGAGCTTGTGGCAGAGGTTGAGCGGTACCGGCTAGATATAGTCGGACTCACCTCGACACATTGCATTGGCTCTGGAACCCGAGACCTGGAGAGGGGTTGGACACTCTACTTTGCTGGAGTTGCTCCGGGTGAGAGGCGGAGGGCTGGGGTTGGCTTTTTGTTAGCCCCGAGACTCTCTGCCTGTGTGTTGGGGTTTACCCCGGGGGACAAGAGGGTAGCTTCCTTGCGCCTTCGGGTCGGGGAACGGGTCCTGACTGTTGTTTGTGCTTATGGGCCAAACATCAGTTCAGAGTACCCACCCTTTCTGGAGTCCCTGGGACGAGTGCTAGATAGTGCTCCATCAGGGGACTCCATTGTCCTGCTGGGGGACTTCAATGCTCACGTGGGCAATGACAGCTTGACCTGGAGGGGTGTGATTGGGAGGAATGGCCCACCTGATCTGAACTCGAGTGGTGTTTTGTTATTGGACTTCTGTGCAAGCCGCAGTTTGGCCATAACGAACACCATGTTCGAACATAAGGATGCCCACCGGTACACTTGGTACCAGGGCAGCCTAGGTCACAGGTCGATGATAGATTTTGTAGTCATATCATCTGACCTGCGGCCGTATGTTTTGGACACCCGAGTGAAGAGAGGGGCGGAGCTGTCAACTGATCACCACCTGGTGGTGAGTTGGATCAGATGGCAAGGGAACATGCCGCGTAGACCTGGCAGACCCAAACGCATAGTGAGGGTCTGCTGGGAACGCCTGGCAGAAGAACCTGTCAAGACGGTCTTCAACTCCCACCTCCGGCAGAGCTTTGACCACGTCCCGAGAGCAGTGGGGGACATTGAGTCCGAGTGGGCCTTGTTCCACTCTGCGATTGTCGAGGCGGCTGTTGCTAGCTGTGGTCGTAAGGTGGCCGGTGCCAGTCGTGGTGGCAACCCCCGTACCCGCTGGTGGACACCAGAGGTTCGGGGAGCCGTCAGGCTGAAGAAGGAGGCCTACAGGGCGTGGCTGGTCTGTGGGTCTCCGGAGGCAGCAGACAGGTACCGGATAGCCAAGCGGGGTGCAGCAGTGGCAGTTGCCGAGGCAAAATCTCGGGCGTGGGAGGAGTTTGGTGAGGCCATGGAGAAAGACTATCGATCGGCTCCAAAGAGGTTCTGGCAAACTGTCCGGCGCCTCAGGAGAGGAAGGCAGCAACTCGCTCACACTGTTTACAGTGGGGATGGGGAGCTGCTGACGTCAACTGAGGCTATAGTCGGACGGTGGAAGGAATACTTTGAGGAGCTCCTCAATCCCACCAATGCGCATTCCGAGGAGGAACCAGAGCTGGGAGGCCTGGGGATGGACTGTCCGATCTCGGGGGCAGAAGTTGCTGAGGTAGTCAAACAACTACACAGCGGCGGAGCCCCGGGGGCGGATGAGGTTCGTCCTGGGTATCTCAAGGCTATGGATGTTGTAGGGCTGTCATGGTTGACACGTCTCTACAACATTGCGTGGTCATCGGGGGCAGTTCCTAGGGAGTGGCAGACCGGGGTGGTGGTCCCCATCTTTAAGAAGGGTGACCTGAGGGTGTGTTCCAACTATAGGGGGATCACACTCCTCAGCCTCCCGGGAAAGGTCTACGCCATGGTACTGGAGAGGAGGGTCCGATCGATAGTTGAATCTCAGATAGAGGAGGAGCAATGTGGTTTTCGTCCTGGCCGTGGAACTGTGGACCAGCTCTATACCCTTGCAAGGGTGATGGAGGGGGCATGGGAGTTTGCCCAACCAATCCACATGTGCTTTGTGGATTTGGAGAAGGCTTATGACCGTGTCCCCAGGGGCACCCTGTGGGGGACGCTCCAGGAGTATGGGGTGGGTGGCTTTCTGTTAAGGGCCATTCAGTCCCTTTACCAGAGGAGCGTGAGTTTGGTCCGCATAGCCGGTAGTAAGTCGGACCTGTTCCCAGTGAGGGTTGGACTCCGCCAGGGCTGCCCTTTGTCACCGGTTCTGTTCATCACTTTTATGGACAGAATTTCTAGACGCAGCCGTGGTGTGGAGTGTGTCGAGTTTGGTGGCAGGAGAATCTCGTCTCTGCTTTTTGCGGATGATGTGGTCCTCCTAGCTTCATCCAGCTCTGACCTTCAGTTCTTGCTGGGTAGGTTCGCGGCCGAATGTGAAGCGGCTGGGATGAGGATCAGCACCTCCAAATCTGAGACCATGGTTCTCGACCGGAAAAGGGTGGCTTGCCAACTCCGGGTCGGGGGAGAGGTCCTACCTCAAGTGGAGGAGTTTAAGTATCTCGGGGTCTTGTTCACGAGTGAGGGTAGGAGGGATCGGGAGATCGACAGGCGGATTGGTTCGGCGTCTGCAGTGATGCGGACGCTGAGCCGATCTGTCGTGGGGAAGAGGGAGCTGAGCCAGAAAGCCAGGCTCTCGATTTACCGGTCGATCTACGTCCCAATCCTCACCTATGGTCATGAGCTTTGGGTAATGACCGAAAGAACGAGATCGCGGATACAAGCGGCCGAAATGAGTTTCCTCCGTAGGGTGGCCGGGCTCAGCCTTAGAGATAGGGTGAGGAGCTCGGACATTCGGGAGGGACTCGGAGTAGAACCGCTGCTCCTCCGGATCGAAAGGAGCCAGTTGAGGTGGTTTGGGCATCTGGTCAGGATGCCTCCTGGACGCCTCCCCGGGGAGGTGTTTCGGGCATGTCCTGCCGGCAGAAGGCCCCCGGGTCGACCCAGGACACGTTGGAGAGGTTACATCTCCAATCTGGTCCGGGAACGCCTTGGGGTCCTGCCGGAGGAGCTGGTGGACAAGGCCGGGGAGAGGACGGCCTGGAGCTCCCTAATTGGGATGCTGCCCCCGCGACCCGGACCCGGATAAGCGGAGGAAGACGAAGACGAAGAAGAAAACTACAAGAACCCACCATCAAACAGTTTGTCCAGAGGTGACAGGAGAGGAAAAGGAATACATGGAGCTGGGTTTAGTTTTTGTATCATTTAGAAATGGTTGTGGTTAAAGGTTTCCATAATGAAGACGTTTGTACAACACTAAGATGATAAAATACAGTTTGTATGTTATTTATCATTATATTTATCAAATATGGTTATATAGTTAGAAAAATATATATATACATAATTAAAAAAGAGGATTAATTAATTATTAAACACTCAAAAGTATTGCAAATTGGTACCATTAAGTACCAGTATCGGTTTCTAGGTACCAGGAATTGGTACCGAATCAATCCAAATGTGAAAGGTACTGTACCCATCCCTTGACATGTTACTGGTCACTCCTCTTTAGGTCAAAGGTCAAACCAGAGGAGTTAAAAGCCGCAAGTAAAACGAGATCCAACAGGATGATCAGTAAAAACACAAAACCATGAAAGGAGCTGTTGTCATGGTGATGGAAACACTCATCTGTAGTGGAGCATAACACAAGCAGTGTTGGGAGTAACAGCGTTTAGGTATAACGCCATTATTAACAGCATTATTTTTAGGTAATAGGTTAATCTAATTAATTGTTTCTCATCGCTGCAACTCTGTTACTGGGCATATAAAGTGGTGTGTTAGTATGATGTGGTTGAATGAAGCACAACGGTTGTCAGGCTGTCTGACATGTGTTGGCCGGAGAGAGTGACACTGGCTGTACGTGCACCCCCTCATCCTATCTCAAGCCAGTGTTAAAAATGGCAAAAAATTGAACACAGCACCGAACACATTAGGGTGTTTGTTTGCAGATCAGAGACGAGTGTGTGCTGTGTGCACACTTGTCTCTGATCACCATGAAAGAAGGGAGGGGGTTGGCGTGGGCAAAATGACTGGGACAATTATTACGTTAATGTTATGGGATCTGTAAATATTGGTGGAGACAAATTAATAAAAGGAAGAAAGAACAAACAGCACTTCAGAAAGGTGAGGAGATGAGGGAAAACAGTACATGCTAGAGCCGTGGTACTCAGTAGGTGGCCCGCAAGCCCCCTCTTGGCCCCCAGACTACCGGCACACTGCTTTTTATTGAAAAGCACACACACACACACACACACACACACACACACACACACACACACACACACACACACACACACACACACACACACGCACGCACGCACACACACACACATTCTCAGATATTTTGATACACCAGAGCTATTAATGTACTTAGGTTGTACTTTTTTTTACTATAGAATGTGCTACTACTAGTTCATAGTTTTTTATGTGTGTCTGTATATATGTCGATGGTGTCTACTCTGTCTTCTCAAACCCCCAATGAGCTGCGGCAGATGGCTGCTTGTACAGAGCCAGGTTCTGTTGGAGGTTACTTCCTGTTAAAGGGAGTTTTGCTCTTCACTGTCGCTACATGCTCAATTAGTACGGGGGTTACTGTAAAGTCACTTTACATCTGGTTTCTGTCCCTCTCCCAGCTGGACGTTCTCTGTAACGGGGAGATCATGGGCAGGGATCACACGCTGGAGTTCATCTACATGACCCGATGGAGACTCCATGGAGAGAACGTGAGGCTGTCACACTTCCCGTTTCTGTTTATGTGTTTGCGTGTGTGTTGCTGCAGAGGCGAGTAAAAACCCCAAACAGCCTCCTGGCTGTGACTGAGGTTGTGTTGCAGGGCCAGAAAGTTAAACAAATGTTTGTAGGGTTGATTCTGAGTGGTGTGACACAGAAACTGGTGTGCCAACAGGAAGTTGTTCAGTTTTCAGGCTGAGCATTTCAGGTGCTGCTCTGCTGAGAGAAGATCTGGTGATAAGAAACTTCTCACAGTGTTGCTGGTGAGATGCAGCTGAGCTTCCTCAACATGTTCTTCTACCTGGATTTCCAAAATAAGATACTTAAATCAAAGTTACTTTTATTTTGGTTGAAACCATGTATTATTTTTTTTATTTATTATCTTAAATCATCGCATATCAGAGTAGAGCAGTAGAGAATCAGCCTGACAGGCCTGTAGCTTTAGAAATGGCCAGCCAGCCACCTTAGAGGCACCTTAGAAAGCCATCTCCTTGAAGGCTGTTTGCAGCTGTAGTCCAGGGAGTTTCTGATCCTGTTTCCTGTGAATGAAGACACTGTCACCTAAATGATTCTGGTTTCTGGAAATGGTGCCTGTTGTCCAAATAGAAAATAGATAAAAAATTAAGTCAAACACAACGGTTGGACAAGCACAGAACTTCTAGAAAGTTTCTGCAGAAACTCAGATGACCCATCATCAACAGCAGCATCATCTCCTACAGAAAAACTGCAGCAGCCATTTAAAGATAGTCCTAGCTAATCAGAGAGCTGGGATTTTCCCACCATGAAGGGAGCCAGGGTTTCTGCAGAAATCAACAAAACAAATTTAATGCTTTTTAATGGCATTTTTAACCTTTTTAATGCCATAAACAAACACACGTGAGAATCCATGGATATGCAGGGAGTGCAGAATTATTAGGCAAATGAGTATTTTGTCCACAAGGGATCCCTCCTGTCAACTGCTTGTCCTGCAGAAATCTCTGAACTAGAGACTTCATCTTTCCCTTGCACCATTCTGGGTCTCTGCTCATGATGGAGCGGTCCAAGCATGCAACCTGCCTGACAGTGGGGTATTTCAAAGGGCTCTTTTGCACTTTATTAACAATGCTTGAGAGGCATCTTATGCAGTCCTTTCTAAATTCGAGGGCAGTGAGGTCACCTACTCTGTTGTTAGGTTTGCTCTGAAGAGCCTACCAAGGAGGGATAGCATCAGGTAATTAATACATAGGGAATTAATGCAGTGTGTTTTAAGTTTTTTTTAAATATACATATAAAAAATAAACAATACCTTAATGGCAGACTCAGCACCCAAACCAATGTCAACATGGCTCGCATTGACCCAGTTTCTCTGGTCATTGGTGTCCAGTTTGGCCAACTGAAAGGGGATGACGTCTTGTAGCAGCTCCCTTTGGATGAAACGTCTCATTAGACTCTATCAAATGAAAACAGATATTTGTAGATTACCCACTTTAAAACTGAGAAATTTCTATAAATGAAGCAGATTATTACCATCAACAACTCTGTCAAGTCGCTGCACAGGAATGGCAGGACTGGCTCATCTGTTTGGTATTTCTTTAAAAATGGACTAAACGTTCTGGAGATTGCCATGAAAAACGGAAGTTTGGCTGAAATCAGGGGATCTTCATTTGCTGCTTGAATAGTGTCAAAAGAAGAGGTTCCAGGGTTTGGGAGTTCTTTTCTATGGACTGCCTTCACATCTTTAAGCTTTGGCCATACTTCAATAGCTCTCTCTGCAACAGGAAGATTTTCCACCCATCTGTGTCCACAGAATGGGAGTGGAAAAAGAGATGAGCCTGTAAGTTTTGTAAAATCTTCTCTTCTCGCAGGGACATTGCTCTTAACAGTTTCTCAATATTCCATGTGGAGAAGCCAGTCTTGAATGAATTGTGCAGAGTGTGCAGTCCACAGCTTCCAACATTAATTAATTGGCGGCCTCCATGTAGTTCAGCATGCTCTTGCTGGAAATCATTTAAAAACTTCAAGTTCACATTTGGCCCATCCATACTGATGGAAAGGAGGTTCTTCATGTCTAGCAGACACACACAATCCTATGAATACAATAAAATAAATTGAATTATTTGATATGAAAAAGAAAACCTGAAAACATTACACCAACATGTTTGATTTGAAATTTGCTTATAGTAATTTAAAAATTAGCTTATTAAAACTATCTAAAAGCAAAAAGCCTCAATAAAATGAACACATCTTGTCTCTTTAATTCATCTGAATACCACTTCATAAACAAAAAGTACAAATATATTCACTTTGAAATGGTGCAGCAAATCTTTAGCCTTTGAATGGCCCACAAACTGTGATCCAAGATAACGTGACTGGACAGCACCAGCCTCCCAAAATCGAATATGGACGTCTAGTTGTTTATTTTTTGTGGACTGGTTGAAGCTTTCATCAAACATCAGCACAAATGGTCCAGCGTTGGTAGCTGCAGAAATCAGTTCTTTTTTGACATGTGGGGCGAGTCCAAACTTTAAAACGTAGCTTGTCTTGTCCTTTCCTCAGTTGAAAGATTTAGCTATTTCAGTATCCGAAAACATTGCCTGGAACAACTCCGAAACACCTTCATTGGATGCGTAGGAGTGGTGCTGCACGGCAGTGTTCAGACACCATAGCACCTCTGCCTGAAGCGCCGCAGGCGATCCAAACGATTTTTGAAGCGTGCTTGATGTTCCGATGGCAGGGTTCACTGCGACCACCAACATCAACAATGTGGTGAAACCAATGATCTTGAAGCGGACCTACATCTTCACCGGGTTTGAGACGTGGCACCCTAGTGGTGGCCCACCCCTTTGCAGCCGGACTTCATTGTGCCCTAAATGCAGTTAGTTGACATCGATGAGCTTGCAGTAGGATAGATGAATCCAAGATGGCCTCTCAGCAATTTTCACGGCAGTGGGGGTGGTTAGGAGAACTTGGAACGGGCCTTCCCACCTCGGGCAGCGCCAGTTGTCTCGTTTCAGCACCTTGATCAGAACCCAATTTCCTGGTTTCACGACCTGTGTGGGCGAAAAAGCACAAGAGGGTTCTGGGAGATCATTGTTTATCTTGACTTGTTTATCAGTAAACAGTTAAACCATCCAATCTGCCAAAGTATTTTCTCTGTCACTGTGAACCACAGGATCCGTGATGTAGGGAAAAAGGAATCTTCTTCCATAAACCACTCAAATGGTGTTGGTCCACCAGAGGGAGCCGTTACCCTCATCCACAGTTTTACTAATGATAGGCTCTCTGGCCATGGACGTCCTGTCTCAGCCACTGTTTTAGCCAGCCTATTTTTAATTGTCCCGTTCGTACGTTCAACTAAGCCAGCTGAAGATGGGTGATAAGAACAATGTTTCAGCTCAAACCCTAAGGTTTCAGAGCACCTGGTCAATACCTCATTCACAAAATATATCCCATTATCTCATCTAATAAACGATGGGATTCCATAAGTGGGGAAAAAACAACACCTTTGCCACTGTTAAAGCATCGTTTTTCTTTGTAGGATATATTTCTGGCCACTTGGATAAAGCATCTATTACCACCAAGCAATATCTTGTTCCTTGCATCTGTGATAGTTCAATAAAGTCCATGTGTATTGTGTGAAATGGATAAGCAGGTGTTGGAAATTGTCCCCGTTTTGGTCTTAAATGCCCTTGAGTGTTGTTTTTCATGCAGATTAAACATTTTCAGCAAACGTAATTAGCAAAAGTAGAAAAATTAATATTGTGGAATATTAATATTGATTAACTGACACATCCCCCCCTTTGAGACATGGGTCAACCCATGACTCATAAGGACAGCAGTGGGAAACAAAGACTTAGGCAAAATAGGTTTGTTATTTACATGCAACACATATCAATATTCACAGGTTTAAATCTAAGCCAGGACCGCTGTTCCTGATCGGGAGCAGAAGTCTGAGCCTCGTGTAGGATGTCACGTGAGATTGTGTCAGAGCAGTAGCATGAAGCTCCAAGGGTGGGCGGCATGAGGGCCGCAGATTTAGCTGCTTTATCTGCAAAATTATTGCCTCTCGTGATGTCAGAGTCGTCTGTCTGATGTGCAGGGCATTTGCACTGAGACAATTTGCATGGGAGTTGTACAGCTTCCAACAGCTCCAAGAGCCTTGAAGCGTGAGTCAGCTGTTTACCAGTGGATGTGACCATGCCCTTGTTTTTCCAAATCTGGACAAAGTGGTGCACTGAAGCATACACATACTATCAGTGAAAATGCTTATGTCTTGTCCTGAGAGCAGCTGGCAGGCTCTAGTCACAGCCACCAGTTCAGCTACCTGGGCAGAGCAATGAGAGGGCAATGGTTTAGCCTCCATAACTGATGTTTGAGTGGTCACTGCATAACCAACCAGGTTTTTTCCAGAAGCATCTTTAGTAGCCGACCCATCAACATAAAGAGAGATGCAGTCAGGCTAAGGAATGTCTAAAATGTCAACACATGGTTTTGTCATTTCATTGGTGAGTGTTTTGCAGCAATGTTGTTCTCCATCTATGTCAGTAGGTAAGAGCGAAGCAGGTTTCAAGCTACCACAGCGCACTATTTCAACATGTGACTGCGACAAAAATGTAGAAACATACGTGAGATGTCTATTGTGTGTCAGAAAGGGTAGGTTTTCAGCAGAATCAATGCAACACTTTATAATCTCATAGTTACCACACCGGTCTACTTCATTTCTTACACCAGAGTTGCATTTCTAATTTCGGCTAAAATGCAGAAAACCAAGCCAATACAGACAGCATTCAAAGAACCTGTCAAAACCACCCTATTCACGGCGGACGTCATCAAAATTTGAATCTTTAGTCACCGAGGATTTCTCTCAGCACCACAAAACAAACAACAAACAACTTGTCTCACCAGATCTCTCGGCGCAGGCCTTGAGTTCGTTGATCCATATGGTTCCCTGCAGCTACGTCAAGATCCAAGCACCGACCTCCAGTGAAAGCCAGCACTGGAGGCTTTTGGAGGTGTCGCGGCAGGTATCCGGTGGTGGTTTTTGGCATCGAGAGGAAACCGGGGCCTCGGCTCGAAGGACCAAATAATGTCAAGGATTTTATCAACAACCCAGTGCCTGCAACCAGAGAAAAATAAACAAATGACAGACAAGTATCCAGATTGCAATGAGGAGGCAGAAGCTACAAGGCTACTGCCCCGAGCTCCTGAATTCTCAGTTTATTTATAACATGAGATAAGAAAATGTGTGTGTGTGTGGAAATGTCTGTGTGAGTGTGGGTGTGTCTGAATAAATGAGCATGCATTTAGGCATAGAGAAATACATATTACATGAATCAATGATCAAGAAATGATAAACATAAAATTTCCATAACAAACAGTTTTTTAGCATTAAAGTGACAGAGCCCTAAAACAACTCATTCCGGAAGGTATTAAAAATGTCAAGGATATAACTCCTGAGATCACATTCAAATTTTTTTTTGCCATTTGTTTTCAGATGCACTAACCACATATCACCACTAGGGGACATCAAATTACCATTATGCGTCACACAACTTGAACTTGACAGGCCCTGTACCGGGTCAGTGAGCACTTCCGGCAACAAAGTTGTGTCAAAAACATTCTTAATGTTAACCAATGATATATGCAAACTGCACATGTACTTAATGGGAAGAGGCTCATCTACACCATAAAATGCACCCTTTCTACCTCTACAACTCCCACTGACAATAAGGACAATAAAAAATCGAGAAAAACACAGTAGCACCAATGCAACATTATCCTTTCCACAGAAGCAGCCATTTAAATTAAAGCCCAGACTCTCCTCTTTACAAATAGAAAAGTACCATTACTCTACTTGCAAAACTCAAGGAACTCAGCAGCAAAACAAACAAAGCTAGTTTCATGAAGTTAAAAGCTTAAATTCAGTCTTACATTTACTGGTTTATGGTCATAATAATCTGTTTTATAGTTTAAAAAACACTTAGTTTGTGTAATCCATTGTCCCAGTGTCACACTGAGCTGATTCCTGACTGTCTTGTCTAAGACGCTACATTCCGCCATTTTCTGATTCTTCACAATTAAAGGAGTCATCACCTGTTACTACCATACATACATACATACATAGTGTTTTAGGCCATGCTAGTGCTTTCTGACCTGTTTTTTGTAAAGGATGTTTTCTCACGAGATCACACGTGATGTTTTGGCTGTGCGTTAGGGTTAGGGTTAGACGCCCGCTGTGACACGGACATTTCACCTCGAACGTCTAGCGATTTAACCTTCCCCTCACCCCCATCCTAACCTTAACTCAGTAATTTTCAATTAAGCTTTGCATGCATAAGCTGGTTAAGGTTAGAATGGGGGTGAGGGGAAGGTTAAGTAGGTCACAACTCGGTCAAATGTCTGTGTAACCGCAAGTGTCGGACACCAACGCTCTGGGACAGCGCGTCCTCTCCTGACGCGCTGGGGCACCCTGAATCGTCATATTTTGACGCTTGGTCACACGCATAATTTTTCGACACTTTGGGTGTGAGAATGTGTTGCCGGAGTGGCCAAATTACCTCAGACATATAGTAAGGGTTTGCATAGTAAACTATAGGGGTAACTAATCATTTTGAAGGCTAGTTCAACAGGTGAGAAATGTTGTTCCATTATTTTCCGCTCTGGTTTGCTATGCTAGTAAATACTCCGTTACGAGCAATTCTGTTGAAAAAGTTAAAGAGTTTGTAAGGCGTGGGTTACGGCGACAGTAGCCCAAAAATAATACTGATAAAAGAGCAACCAGAGACTCTGAGTCATTACAGTATAATCGCTGATATGAGCCAACACTGTTAGACTCCAGCCATGTTTGCCCTGATAACTCCACAGTGCATGACCCATGTGATCTTCAGTAGATGCAATTACATCATCATAAATTTAGTTTAACATGATTGATATTTTTCTTGGGACAAGAAATTATGGAAACGGCCAACCTGTAGATTAAATTTTAATAATTTTACATTAATTATAAATACATATTTTAAAAGTGCCTGTGGGACATTTTATACACCTCTAGCTCTCTACTGTGTGTGTGTGTGTGTGTGTGTGTGTGTGTGTGTGTGTGTGTGTGTGTGTGTGTGTGTGTGTGTGTGTGTGTGTGTGTGTGTGTTAGCAGACAGCTCTACCAGTGTTTCTAAAGCTCAGACTGGTTGAGAATAGGTACTAAGGTTAAAGTTTGGCAAGAATCAATACATTTTTATGCATTTAATCTACTGATTTATGTTTATAATTTCTCAAGACAGCTTGAAGTGAGTTAACTTGTAAATATTTTACAGGAGGAAGAATATCGAGATATATATATATATATCGGAAATTCAGCTAAAAGATATCGAGATATACGTTTTGGTCCATATCGCCCAGCCCTACATGAACCCAAGAAATTAAATATTAAAACCAAATTCGGTCCTACAGCCATTTTTCCTTTTTGATCAGAGGCTAAAATAGAAAATACGAAAAACACGATTAAAAAAAAATCTGTTGATAAAACAAACAAAAAAAATTAAATTTTCCTTTTATTTTTCAATCAAAAATAGAACAAACTATACACGGATTGGGGTTGACCAAATCAGTTTGAGTTTTCACAAATAAATTGCTGCTCACCTTTAATTCAGTGGTCCCCAACAACCGGTCCAGGGTCCCTCATAGGTCTCTGGATTATTTTTTACCCACTGGGTAGTAGACGGGTTGTCCAACCAACCAAACCATTTCTTTATGTCATATAAAGGTGGTGGGCTGAGCTAACTAACAGCAGCTTACAGGTGTAACAGTAAAAGTGAGAATATGGAGCAAAAGTCCATTAATGCCAGTAATCCAGCTCAGACTGAGAGACCACCTAAAAGCTCAGGAACCCTTCTGGATTCATTAGCTGATTAGAATGTGACACTTTGAGTCTAGAATTTTGAACCTTTTCACAATATTCTAATTGTCTGAGATTTTGAAAGTGGGGTTTTCATAAACTAAGCCTTAATCATCACAATTACAACAAATAAGGGCGGAAGTATCTGGGTTTGCATGCATGAGTCTGTCTCATAGATTAGTTCCACCTTTTAGGTTGATTTACTGACATAAATGAACTGTTGCACTATATCCTAATATTTAACAGTTTCATCTTTGCCAGTCAAACTGCAGCACACGTTTTGCTTTGGTTCAAACTAAAGTTTAGATCTGAGTTTCTACTGAATAAACTGATGTGAGCTGAACACAGAGCCTTCTGCTGTGATGGTCCAGTGTGTAATGTTCCCACACTTGAAAAGCGCTATATAAGTTCAATGCATTATTATTATTATTACTAGAGCAGCCATGTGGTTTCTCTGTGCCGTTTGGATTTTAAACCTGAAAACGGATTTCTCTCCTTTTTCTGTCTCCCTCAGACATATCCCATGGTTCTCGAGTATCGGCCACGCATCGACTTCGGCTGAGCTACAAAAGAAAGAGCACACACACACACACACACACACACACACACACACACACACACACACACACACACACACACACACACACACACACACACACACACACACACACACACACACACACACACACACAATCAGAAAGGCCTAAAATGTGCAGATAAAGAAAGATTCAGATGTATTTTTGTACAGCCAATGACGAAGTGCATTTGTTGTTGCGGTAAGAAGCTTTTCTGCTCTATAGAATAATAATAATAGTAATAATATATGCTGTAATATATGATATTTTTAAATGTCTGTCCCTGTGCCTAAAACCTGTTTGGCTCAGATGAGCCCTATCTCCGATCTGCCTGTTTCGCTAACTGTAGATTAAATGTTGATTTTCTACTTGGATGTTATCTTGTTTTATGTGTGTCTGATTTTTGCTGCAGCAGCTGGCTGATGTTAGACAGATGTTGGAGTTCCAGCTGTACAGGCACACATTCAGTTATTTTGTGCTTGTAAGTCAGACCTCATATTTGATCATTTCAGCTTAGTGAACAGGTAAGAGGCAGGAATATTAAAGCCACGCTGACCAAAGCGCTGAACATAAAAGTAATAAACAGAATACAATGTAAAAAAATAAAAAATACAAGTAAAAACAGTACCATGACTACACTCATACTGGGTCAAAGGCCAAGCTAAAGAGATGGGTCTTTAAAAGAGATTTAAACGTTTCCAGCGAGGGGGCCTGCCTAATCTGTGCCGGCAACGAGTTCCACATTTCAGGAGCAGCGAAAGCGAAGGCCCTGTTCCCTCTGAGCTAATGTTGTGTTATCTGTACGTCCAGGACCAAGCGGTCAGATGACCTGATTAACCGAGAAGAAGAAGGAATGTGTATTCGCTTGGAGAGATAGGGTGGGGAAGGACTGTTTAAAATGGACATGCAGCCAGTGCAGTGAGGATAAAACAGGAGGGTTCTTTGTATGTGTGCCAGTGAAGAGCTGAGCAGCTGTGTTTTGCGCTAGCTGAAGTTGAGACAGTAAGGACTGGCTAATGGCAAAATACAAAGAATTACAGTAATCCAGTCTAGTTGTACTAAAGGCATGGACTACAGTTTCAAAATCCTCTGTAGATAAAATGTTTTTTACCTTCGCTAACTGCCTCAGATGAAAGAAGCTTGATTTGACCACAGCACTGACCTGACTAACTTAGATTTGGTTATAGTTAAAGCTTAAAGCTGAAAGTCATGCTGAGAACTTGAGAACAGTGTCACATGCAACTTCTTCACTTTGTAAAAAAGTACTTTTGTAACTTACTATTACAAATACAGTACATATTGTTTTTACACTTTCTGATCTGATGATGTGCAGCGCTGAAATGATCAGGCCTTAGCAGTCTGACTTTTGAGCTGTAAATATTGAAGACCTCCACATCTCCAGGTTCTGCTTTTGCTCTCTGGAGGAATAAAAATGCCTTTAGAGGTTGGGGAAAGCCCAGCCAATAGAAACAGGGACAGTCCACGTGTTTATGAAATGTTCTGCTGATGACCGGATTGTGGATCAGCAGCACCAGGTGGGGTCTGAATCTATTGTAGCTCAGCAGAGCTTCTTCAAAATAAAGAATGAGACCTTTTCTTGCAGTTGAACTCAAACTTTAGTGAATTAGAACACCTTACAGGAAAATCACATGTCTGCACTTAGCGCCAGTTTTTTCTCACTTTCTCGTTTTCTTGCTAAGCCTTCTGGGAAACACGCTAAGTCTCATGGGTAATGAAGTTTTTAAAGGTTACACAATACTGAGCCTCTTAACTCATTTCAAATCAGAAAATACTCTCATATCACTAAATAATAATCAGATTAAACAATATGTCCTTGGTGAACATTCAAATTCTACATTTCCATGAACTGACATAATAGTCATTTCTATTTGTTACTAGCATTAATATAAGAATCGTGAGGTCAACATTCTTCAGCTTCACCCTCAGGACTCAGATTTAATGGTCGGATATGTTCTAAGGATCTCTAGGTGGAAGGGCTGGGCGATATGGCCTAAAATCAATATCACAATATATTGACGATTTCACCTTGATAACGATTAATAGATAACTACAGGTACAGAAACAAAAGTTGTCCACTAGATGGGGCTGTCACATGTATCACGAGTCAAATTTCTACCTGACTCAAGGTGGTACAGCTTCTTAAAGGGACATGATCCTTGCCAACCTACACACATCTTTTAAAAATTTTACTATCAAATTTTTTGACATGGGAAAAATTATCACAATAAGAGTCAGAAATTTTGATAACGATAAATTTTCGATTTATTGCCCAGCCCTACCAGATGGGAACCAAATGAACTCTGATTCAGAACATTTTATAACAAATCTGTAGGAACAGGCCAGATGGCACCAGAACCAGAACTTCATCACCACCTGGCAGAACCACATGGACCAGGACTTACTTCCTACAAAAAAGAGTTAGATATAGATATTGACTGGTTCAAGAGGCTGCAGCAGCTTCTCTAGACTCGGTCTAGGATAGACCAGAACCACAGTGGATCATAAACCACTCTGATCAGCAAACCTCTCATTATTCTGATCTGATCGAACGCTGCCTGAGTGGTTCTTCCTTCCTTAGCCAGCCCTGTGGTTCTGGTCGAGGTGGAGACCTAGTTATTGTCTGTAAGGACCATCTTTCTTGTAGCTCCACAGCCTCTGGTCACTGTTCTTCCTTTGAGCTGCAGCTGAATAAAGTCGGGTGTAAGTTCCAATCCTACTGTGTTGTGGTTTATCATCCACCTGGTCCAAACAGTTCTTTCCTTCAGGAGTTTAGTGAGTTTATCCTCACCTAACCACCAAAACAATGAGATCACAGATCAAGCAGCTGAACTGAGTTTTCTCTGGAGGGTGTCTGGGCTCTACTTACCTCTACTGCACACTGGAAACAAAAGTGGTGCGGAACGACAGCGAAACTGCACCGCTCCATATAGAATCCATTATAGTCTATGGAGTGTAACAAACCAGCCGTGACGCGGCAGTTTTCAGAAGCGGCACACCACGCCACTAAGTATAGGATCAGGTTCTATTTTTTTTCATGAGCCGCTTCTGGGATGCATCAATTACCGCAATCGACATAGAGTTAGACAGGAAATCACACGTGGTTTCAGTGTAAAATCCCTGGTAATTTTCAAAATGAAAGTATTGCAGTGATGCTATTTCATATAAATTAAGCTTACATGTGACCAGTATTTGGAATGATACTTTTAAAAAGTAATTACTGATTACTTTGTCAAAAAAGTATCTCACTTACTTACCGAGTTACAAGATTATAAAAGTAAATAATTACCAAGAAAAATAACTATTTTGTTACTTTTTTTCATTAAAGAATGGACAAAACAGGTTCCCCACTTGATTTAACTTACTTAACCCTCCCACTGTCTTATCAGGTGACCCCTACTGGAATGGTGACCTTTGAGCAGGGTTGATGCTTTATCCCTTGAGGTCCATGTAGCAGGGGTGAGGAGTGAGCACCCAGGAAAGCGCTAAGTTCACATTTTCTTTACAAAACTCCCCAACACAGCTTTCTGTTTGTGGTGATGGCAGGAGAACAGTCTGCACTTTGCATGGGAAGACGGTTTGCTGCTAAATGAAATAGCCACTCGTAGTTACAGGTGTAACATGCCCAAAGGTGAAGTTTTCATCAGAATGACCAGAAATTAACTTTTTAATTTACAGACACAGTCACCCCATTTTTCTGGCCTCCAAACAAGAAAGCACTGTACAAGACCTAGTTACCGAACAAGGAAGCCATAATATCTTTGCTCATGGTCTCATGTGGAAGAAGAGACTTTCTGCACTTTCGCTCTGAATAAAGTTCATCTTCCTTGAATTATAAATGACTTTACAACTTTATAGGTTGATATAATCAATTGTGTTGATTGAAAAAGATGTTTAAATCCCAAAGTGTTTGAATAATTTGTGCACTAATCAGCGATGTGTTAAAATTTATATTTTTCCTGCAATGATTCATGTCAGATCTTAAATTACACCAGATCAGCATTTGTTGACTTAACAAGTTAATATATCAGTATACTAATACACACTATAATAAAATTATTATTAATGTTTAACATTCTCTTCACATAAATGTGTAAAAACTTTTCCACCTCACACTAAGTTAACCTCTGAATATCTGAGTGAAGGCGTCATTTATGAGGTATCTTTGTTGTCGCCCTTTTAAACGTGTCAAGTTCTGATTTGTCTAGAATTTGTAAACAAAATTTAGTACATACAAGAATCTCTTCCTGATCAAGCAGTTCTCCAGCTGCCTCCTGGTACTGCCAAACTGGTGAGCAAATATTTAAGACCATTCTATTTTTGACCTCAAGGTCAAAGCCTCTCTGCAACACTTGCGAGTGATTTCAGACACAATGGCTCTTTTAAGAGCCACCGAACAGCCTTAGATGCAAAATAAGCATTCCAGCTTCCTACCCTCACCTGGAGGTATGTCAGCCTAGACGGGTTGTATCGAAGCTGTCTACGAGTTCCATAGCTAGAGGTTCACTCTACCGCCTGGATCGCCAGGGGATCGCCACACAAGGGTCCATAGACTCAGCACAAATGGCGTCGGATGGTTTTTAAAAACAATCTCTAGCTTCTCAAACCATACAGCCAAACTGATTTTACCACCCAAATTCCACAATCTATCAGATACTCAAGAAAGGTTTTGCTAAAACATCTAGCTCACATTCCTTCATTCCATCCATTGTCTGTCATCTTTACAACTTTCATTTCATTCACACTTTGTCATGTATAATCATTTAGTTTTGGAAAAAAGAATTAAAATCATTTTTATAAACTATATTCTTGACTCTGAATTAATATGAAGTGTGTGTGTGTTCCCTGAATAAATCAAAGAAACTAAAGGAATATTACATCAACTATTAAGAAATATTATTCTACTTTCTGATAAAAAGAAGCAGAAACTGCTTGGATGGTCTGTTAGTAACCACTGCTTGCCCTTTTGTGCAACTAATCCCATGATTAACATCCAAACAAGAACACAAACACACAGACAAAACTAAAATTCTGAGAGTCGAAATAGCCGAACATCTATTAACGTGAGACTGAAGCCTTTCTTCGGAGATAGCTCTGAAGTCGGGTGGATGCTCATTCAGATTTTTCGGCATTGAATACACTTAAACAGAAGACTAAGAAAAAATGTATCCCCCTCAGAGTTGTCATGAGATTTATTAAACCTAAAATATGTTTTTGTGACCTATATATTTAAAATGAGCAAAAATAGGCAATTGTGATTTAAAAAATGTTAAGAAAGAGAGAGAGAGTGAATAGGAAAGAGGGAAATCAGTGGATCCTGAGGAAGGTGGAATAGGTGGGGAGAGCAGAATAAAGA